ATGGGGGAAAAGGATGACTGTCACTTTAAAGTGTGGTGTGAGGAAGAGGAGGGAGGGTCATGGACATTCTTCTCTCTTTCAAACGGTGGGTTTTATTTTTTCTGAGGGATGACGTCAATGACAGCGCGGCTGGGCGGCCTCCAAACAGCAGCCTCTTTTCCTCGCGCATCGCGGTGACGTGATCACACATGCCTCCGCCAGCCGGTTTTTCAGAATGTACGGGCACATTGTAGACCGTTACACCAGTGGCTGCGATAGGTGGGGCCACGGGGACATGTGTAAACAACGTGGCGTTGCGCAACTTTAAACCAGCGAGTCCTGAAATAATGATCACAGTCATCCCCGAGTGAAAAAAAAATAACCGTATCACTCCCACGTTTATTTGCGAGTACATATAGTTCCATCATGTCATTATACTATTCTAAACTTTATAACGGCATATGAACCTGCTATTACATTTCGTACTATTTCATCTATTTTACATTACACAACAGCCCACGCTGTATGTGCATATGCTGCGCCAATTACCACAATGTGCCGCTCACTTGTTACGAGTCCACATTTCCTCCACTGTATAAAAAATAAATAAAATCAATCTGTCACCACTACGCAGCATTCAGTGACATTACGCAGCAGTTTCACACCGAAACTCAGCCGCTCGCTGGCGTAACTTAAATCAACTGCGCAGCTCCCCGCACACTGCCCGCGTGTTATCCCCCTTTTTCGGGATACACACCCCCTTTTCCATAATACTACAGCTGCGTAGGCTGAATTCTAAAAAACACGCTTACTCCTGCAGCATCTCAGCTGCTGCACAGGAAGCTGTACAGGACGCGACCCGGGATGCGAACCCATGTTGAACTATGCAGTTAATTAAAAAGCATAGATTAGTCTTAAAATCGCTTTTTTTGCGAAAGTTAAAGTGCGTAGCCTAGTTTTTGTTGTGCATGAGGACAACGGACGGTACGCTGGACGTAACTTTCATTCGGATAAAACACAGGAACATAAGTTATGTAAGTTATGTAAGTAAGTAAGTACAATTTATTTATAAAGCTCTTTTCACAGACAAAAGTCACAAAGTGCTTAACAGGGCAGACATTACAAGCATAAAAAAGACAATGTGACCATAGGGCCAATAATTTACATACACACAGAAAAATACAAAATTAAAACATAGTTTAAAAGCAGGTCTAGGACATGGGTTTTACCCAAACGCCAGTCTAAAGAGCTGGTTTCTGAAAGTGTTCACAGAATCTGCGAGGCGTGGAACGTATTACTAGCACTCTCTTACCTTCCTCACTCTCTTCTTTGTTATTGACTCAACAGCAAACACTTGGTCTCCCACTGATGACAGCTCCATCTCCGCGTGCTGCTCCACACGCTCCAAACAAGATGCCTAAGTGTGTCTCTGCTGTTACAGTCGAAGTGCTGAAATAAAAATATCCTGCAGGAAGACAAACAAAAAACAAAAAAATCCTGGAAGTTGCAGTGCGGCTGTTTGCTCCAGATGTGAACATTTGCTTTGAAAAGGCCGAGTCTCTGCGCCTCCCCTCACTCCAAACTCCAGCGGCTTGCCTCCCTCACTTTTAAAAATCTGCGACACATCAACGCCGCTCAGAACAACGCGTTCCTTTAAGTCGAGCGCGCCGCCTTTCCATTGCGTAGTGCTGGGACCCCAGTGTGCGTGCGCGGCCCCGTGGGCAAATTGGAACAGAGTGCAGAAGGGGTATAGAGGAGGAGGAAGAGGAGGTGGGCGGGTTAAAGCGTCAAGGTTATTATGTGACGTTAAAGTTAGGGGAGGGAGTAAAAAACACGTCATCATTAAAAATATCGCTATTAATCCAGTTCAGGGGCAAGAGCACTTCAAATCACTCCACTCAGGTTTTATTTCAGGGATAAACTTAAAAAAATATCCAAAGTTCCATGACTTGATGTTTTGTTTCATTCACTGTCAACCCTTTACATATTTCTTTAAATACATATTTTGGGAAATGAGCTTATTGGGGTAAGAGTCAGATGAGAAGCCCAGTTCTCGCATCTGTAGTCAATATAAAGCTGGAGCTGGCAGCTGGTTAGCTTAGCATGAAGACTGGACTGGTTTTGTTCTACCTGTTTCCAGTGTTTATGCTAAACTAAGCTAACCAGCTGCAGGTTGAAGCCTTAAATCTCCACCAGAAAGCAAATACGCTTATTTCCCAAAATGTCAAACTACTCCTTTAAGATATTAACAAACAGAACAGCAAATCAGCCCAACTGCTTCAAGGACTATACTGTGTTTGATAGAAAGGCTCTCTGCTCTTTCAGAAGTCAAACACAGTGAAATGAGTTTCTTCAGTTAAAACAGAGAGAGTGAGCTCATGTATTTTTATGTAACAGGCGTAAAGGCAGGAAAGATCAGAATCTGTAATGGAAATGAAGGCTTTGCTTCACTGTGGTGGAGATGATCACCCCTCCAGCCGTGTTTGATCCAAATATAGGAACTAAACAGCTAAACACTCACAGGAAATCTAAATTTTATATCCTGAACGCTAAGCAGCATCTCTGGAGAGAGAACGGCTGAGTGCAACACAGATGAAGATCTCAGTGACGACAATGACCGCTGATATGTTGCAGCCAACATTTATTAAAGAGGACCGATTCTTAAAATCCATGACGGTTTGGTCACAGCCGCTGGTTACACACACTCATCTAACTTCATACCTGAACGTGTACTCGTCCATCCCCCCAGGTGGGGACAGCTCATAAAGGTGAAGTGACTGCTTTGGAAAAAGGGCCCGGAGCCAGTTTCCTATTATCTTCCATTGAGGGTGGTGTGGATCAGTTTACAGTAAAACTCGCTGTAACTACAAACAAACAAACACACACACACACACACACACACACACGGTCCACTGTCTGTCTCTCTGCACCTGGAACACTTGCATCACTTATGGGCATTGGGTGTCATGGCAACAGTTTCTAAGGCGACGGCAGAAAAGCTGGATGATGATGATGATGATGATGATAATGATGATGATGAGACAACAGGAAGAGTTGATGAACAGCTCAGGGCTGAATCCACCTCCACTGTCCCAGCTGTGACCTTTGACCTCCTAGTCCTGAGATTATGTAAACAACCAAACCAACAATATTATTATAGTGATGTCTATAATCTGTGGTATTACAGTTTATAGAGTAAAACTATTTTATACTGATTATAGGCTTTACAATAAACCATGTCTATCTTTAGGTGTCTATAGCAGTTTTGGTGAGGTTTGATATAATTAGCGGCGACTAATAATTATTTTCGTTATTCTTCCAATTATTTATTTGTATTATTTGATCATCGTTTTGTATACAAAATAGCAATTTTAAAACAAATACCCCTGACATGCTCCAAAAGCCCAAGTTGGCCTATTGTCCTTCCATCGGTCCAAAACCCCAAAATAATCAGTTAATTAAACTCGTATTATAGACAACCAGAAATATTAACGAATGTTAACGTGAGGCAAGTTCCAATCAGCAATTTTGCTTAAAAAAGTAACTCACAGATGATTTATCGATCGAAACAGTTGCAGCTTCATTTTCTCACAGATGTTTAAATCATTGTGCTTCATCTTTCGTGATTCTAAAAATAAAAGCCTGACCATGTGAGGACATTCAATACTTTATTTAGCTCACTGGTGTTTGCATCAAAGGGGTTCTCCAGTGAATCAGTCCTTCACATTCAGAAAGCAGCTGGACTTGTGAAGACGGATCAAATAAATTGGTAAACACCCACGCACATCTTTCAAACTTCACACCTCCATGTTTGTAATGCAGTTCTCCATTAGAGTTTCTTGCCTCAAGCCTAAAACGAGATAACCCCGATGACATCACTCTGAGATCATCAGGGTTATTTTGTCAGACTTTAGTAAAGCTCCCTTCAGAGACTCGGATTATACAAAGGCTATTGTTACAGGCTGACTAGTACTCGTCCTGAAGAGTAAACTGAAGTTAAACAATAATAAATAATAGTGGCCCCTTTAAGTTGATGATATATTACTCCTTTGATAGTCTTACAAGAGTTGTAGGACTCCTGGTGGGAGTCATGGTATTTAGTGATACTTATGTGTGCTGGGATGATTTAATATATCCTAAAGGGGACTGTGGTGAGTTTGCGCAATGATCCAGCATCATCTTATAGCTCCGGTAAATGATATCATTGAGCTTTACAGTGTTTCAACACCGTGCACTTCTCCGGTAGCCCGCTCCTACCGGGACCAGCGTCACGGTATCACTTTATCAAATGTAACACGGGATGGAAAACAGCATTTTTCCCGTAAGGAGGTGGTTATCGCAGCAATTCAGGAGAAAAGAAACACGCCAATCACATGACTTGTTATCTGCCCGGATACTAGTGTAGCGGAGTGGGGATGTGAGGATGGAGCGGCGAGAAAAAAACCCAGAAAAAATAAACATAACACCGCAGGACGGATCACAGCGCTCACTCCCACCCACGTGTGATGACTCACGCATGACTCACCAAACGTGACGGTAAGAAGACCAGCGGGGCACTTCTCTGGAATAATAACAGAGACAGAGAGACAGAGAGAGAGAGAGACAGAGAGAGACAGAGAGAGAGAGAGAGAGACAGAGACAGAGAGAGAGAGAGAGCGAGAGAGCGAGAGAGAACACAGCAGGGTAACTTACAGGCTCATACCGGGAATCCATGCGTTTCTGATTTACTCCCCTTCGTCCTGGGGGGGGGGGGGGGGCTGTTACAGAGGCAGCACTTCTGGGAAAGTAAAAGCACTCAAATCCTGCCGCTAAACATCAAAGCCGCAGCGGAACAAACTTTGTCTGACAGGCTTCTTATTTGAGAACATGTATGTGCACTTTTTAAGGGCATGTTTAATGCAGCAGACCTGTTATCAGTCACCATTTAGTGTCAGTTACACCCGAACAGGCTGCATGTCAGCAGTCAGAGTATTGTAGTATTACTCCACTACACTTATTGGACAGCTGTAGCTACTGGGTACTTTGCAGGATACAATTTAACCTGCTGTCATATAAAATGTGTTTTAAACTACCAATCATGGTTTAAATTGGCAGCAATATGAGCAGTTAAATGATACTTAATAGGAATAATAATATCCAATGACATACAAGTACTTCTACTTTTGTACTTTTCTTGAAGTATCATTTTAAAATCTAGACTTGCAATGAAGTATTTCTGCCATGTGGTCTGAGTACTTTTACTTAAGTAAAGGTACGTAAGTATTTCTACTGGTCAGGACAGGAAATATGATCGTATATAAGCATACGAAACTACAGTCACAGTAATTTCAGCTAAATAGGTTGATCAAAATACATTAAGCACAAATGTTTTCTTCATATTACTGATTACATTTACTATGTACAGCAGCAAGAAAGACGTCTTGAGTTTGGTTTCTCTCCTAAGTTGAGCTGGACGAAAGTTTGAAGACGATGAAACCAAAACCAGTGGGACCAAGAGAGAAACACCAAAGACCGAAACCAAAATGCAGAACATCAACCCCGGTCATGCCTGTAAAGATATCAATAACCAGCTTACTGTACATTCATGTTTATTAGCATTCATCAATATTAAAATAGAAATCCTTGCTACTGACAGAGTACAATCTTAGTTTGCACTCATTATTTTCACAACGTAAAAACATTTTATTAAACGTTTCTTCCAAAGAACACCTCGAAGAAAATCAACGATGTAAACCACCAGGTTCCTGTTTAAGATGCTTAGTGATGGTAAAAGTGAACACATTGGCAGCCGCACACTCTGATCTCCACAACTGCTCCTCAGAAACCCACGGCAGACGTCACGGAGACCACGTCCATATTTTATACAGTCTATGGATGGAAGCACACCAGCCGTGACGCCGCATTCAGCCGGGGGCGTTAAGTAGTACCCTACTACTTCTGACCCCCCCCCCCCCGCTTAGACCACACACCCTTCTTTGAACTCAACCTTCTCAACAACACGCTCCTGTGAAGTTTAGTGACGGCATCTTGCACGGTGGCGGCGTGGTGACAAGGTCTGTCCACAGACAGACATACAAACACCTGGAAAAGTACTCTGTGGAAGTTCCTGCTACACACACACACACACACACACACACACACACACACACACACACACACACACACACGCTGTCACGGCTAGTAGTTATTAAGAAACTCTGTGCAAATATGTTTCCTTTAAAATACACATTTATTCATGACAGACAGCAGCTTCTGTGGCAGAAGAACCCTTTTAGAATAACCAGCTGAGCAAAATCAGGTTACATCCTCCATGTAGTCCTCTTTTCCTCTTCACCAATACTGCACTAATAAGTTAAATATTTTGGGAAATACACTTTTAAAAATAAAAGTCTGGCATAAACCCTCATCCTGTGAATCTTTAGTCCTTCAGTCTTCATGCTAAGCTAAGCTAACTGCTAGCTGTAGTGTACAGACTCAGGAGTGTTATCAACCTTCTCATCTCACTCTTGGCGAGAGAGCAAAAAAAGTGTATTTCCTAAAACGTTGATACTAAAAGTTAAGTGGACCCCAAAATGACCCCTGACTTTCCTCCCAGGGGCCAGAAGAGATCCGTCCTTCTTGAACAGGCTCACTGCAGATCTGAGGAGAACCGAGAGCGTGATGAAAACAGAGAGAAAAGGACCCGAGACACAAAATGTCCCGGACGTTGCCCGTTTTTTGTATAACAGAGTTGTCATTGTGCTGAATGACCGTGACTGGGTACAACAATTTCTGACTCCGTCTGAGCCGGAGTCATTGCGTGACTTTAGTCTTGTGCTCAAAGCTGTTTTTGTCAAAAGGTAGCTTTACAGGAAGCATACGGGGTCTTGTTTGTATCCTTATACACCAGAAGAAGAGGTCCACCCCCTGTGACGAGGTACTTACAATCTGAGTTGCTGCATATTTGAAAAATAAAATCGGACTCCACACAGTGTCTTAAAGCAGCGGTCACCGCTGGGGGCAGGTGACTCGGGTGTGTCCCGGCATGTGGCAGATGCCGCAGGTGCGAGGTTTCCTGGCAGCTGGAGGTTTGTTGGCGGTGGCCTCTCCCGTGATCTTCCTCCCCTTCTTCCCTGCGTCTCCACCACCATTAAACCCACCACCAAACACACCTGACACGGGGGGGGGAAACAGAGAGCAAGCGTAACATGATTAGAGAAGATGACTCCGCGCCAGCCTGCTAAGTGGATGCCTCAAGGTCTCCGTGGAAGTGTTTGTGAGTCGTGACAGCTTTTCTTATCACTAAATAAAGACGGAGGTGAGGAGGATCTCGCTCGCTCTTTCTGGTGTTTCATCTCTGTACATTCATTCTGCTTTGCTCGCAGAGAGATGTTTTGAATAAACAGTGTTGACGAGCGCACAGAAAGCATGAGATGAGTCCAGGCTCACGGTGTCAATCACCTGACGAGAGATTTAACTGTGAGAAATCAAACGTAAAGCACTGCAAGTGTCTGTAATGTTTGCTTGTGATGCAACGGAAAGAGGATGTAATGATTTGATAAGCACCACAGACCGAAATCAAAGAAACATTTGAAGATGGATTTTCTAAAAGTCCCCTTACAGCACAGCTGATAGTAACAGAACCAAAACTCTAATTTTGCACTGTGACAGGCGACTATATTCCTTTATGCAACAAAGGTGTGATAGTTATTTATTTTTAATAGTAAATATCGGCCGATAGCGACCCGTGGCTGATCCATCGGAACCTATTTAACCTAATGACGGCGCTAGAGGAGCGTTGAGGGATCCCCAAAGTTATTCCAATTCATCCTGAGGGGCGGATGAATGTCGGCACCGGACTTCATGGCAATAGATCCCTTTCTACACTTTCTAATAGAGATGGTTCAGCCTGGACCAAAGTGATGGACGGCCCGCCCCCCCTGCTAGCATAGCTAAAAATGTCTCATTTAAAGGATATTAATTTCAGGCCTCAGGGTAATGAGTGTGTGTGTGTGTGTGTGTGTGTGTGTGTGTGTATGTGAGCCTTGCCTGATGGAGGTTCGTTCTCATCGGCCCACAGGAAGAAGCCACACTGCTGGTCTCTTGGTTTCCCGCAAGTGTGGAACATCCGGCCCTTGTTTGGCCCGTCCTTCTGCACCGTGCGCGTCACCGCTGCCTCGTTACAGTTACACATCGTCTGTCCCGCGTGTCCTCCTGCACCCCCCTCCTGCCCCCCGCCTCCTCCTCCTCCAGGGGTGTTCCTGAACCCCACGGAGAGCCTCGGTGGGGCTTGCAGCGGAGGACCTCGACTCTGCAGCTCCCCCTGCTGACTCGGCTGATCCGCCCACAGAAAGAAGTTGCAGCTCCCGGCGTTGCACTTGTAGAACTGCCGACCTTGGTTGGGGCCGTCTTTGCGCACGGTGAGGAGGACCGCCTCCTGACCGCAGTTACACACGATGGCCTCGCTGCTGCCGTCCACACCGCCACCGCCCGCTGGAGGTCGTGGCTGCGGGGTCCAGGAGGGGACCGGGGGAAGGGACGGTCGAGGATTTGACCTCGGGGCTCTAGGGTGCTCTGGTCTGGGGGGCCTTGGAGCTGGTGGACGAGGATGATCTCCTCCTCCTCCTCCTCCTCCTCCTCCTCCCCCCCCCCCCCCCTCTTCCTCCTCCCCCTCCTCCCCCTCCTCCCCCTCCTCCTGCCCGAAGGTACTTCAGGTCCAGCACCTCTCTGAGTGTCTCGTCACATCCACCGATGCAGCCAACGAATTCTAAAGGCATCATGGGAGGGAGGCTGCCCCTGCGGAACTTGAACTTTAACCTGAAGAGCGTTGGACACACAGGAAACAAATGTTGAAGAACCTCAGTATTCACACATGTGATGAAAGATTATTATTCTTCACTGACTGCAGTGGTTGTTCTGACTGTGAGCAGAGTTTTGAAATGAATATTTCATTCATCGTAAGAAAAGTTATACATCATTACTCAACACACACCCTCAGTACACAAAGTCAATACTGTGTGTGCGTGTACTAAGTAAAAGCGGTTGAAGGCTCCTGCCCTTCTAAACGAGTGCGTGTACAACTAAAGTTTGAATAATGCAGCAGGTTGCTGTAGCGACCGGCGAGGAGGCTGAGGGAGGAGAGAGTTTATTAATGCACACATCTGCTGCTAACAGTTACACAACACGCTGAAATCTGATTTAAAAAAAAAAAAAAAAACTGTTATATTTTCTTAGAGTAAACGCTGCAGATCAACTTTGAGCTCTGTACCAGATCGGTTGCTATGGAAACAGATGCTGGTGTGGAGCTCTTTGGCTCGCGATGGCGCCCTAGATTTGTGCTGAGCCGAGCCACGTGCTCAAGGGGTTAACGCCCACTTGTGTAAACGAGAATTTGGACAAGTTTCTTGCACTGCTGAAGCCACCGAGAGCCTCATCTGCTGTTTGTTGTGTTTGCACGGGAAGCAGCGCGCGCACACACACACACACACACACACACACACACACACACACGCGCACCTAAGAAATGAAAGCTGTGTGTTGAAGGTAAACAAGCAAACAGGGAACTTTCTTTTTACTGTTTTTATGGTCTAATTTTTAACATATTTTTTAATTCTTGTGAAGCACTTTGTCATCTTGCTCTATAAAAGGTGCCAAATAAAATAAACTTTACTCACCAAACAGATAAACACTGTTACATACAGATGAGCAATGTAACCGATGTTGTGCGTATACTCTATGGATTCCAGCTGAAGCTACTAGGCAGATTACCTGATTAGGCTTTAAATCATAAAGTTGGGGGGACTCACAAGAGACATTCAAAAGACATTGAGAGTCGACATGCTGGCAGCTCTCTGAGGCTGTACTACCTGATGACGAGTACATTGAATGTGTAAAACCTGGATCTAAATTTAAAATCTGCTCCTCTACTGTTTCACAATTCATTTGATTCGCTAAATATCTGAACACAAACTGATGTGCAAAGCAGGTAGGATGATGAATCTTTATGAAAACATGTTATTGTGAGCTATTGGCAGGCTGAATTATCTTGATCATGAACAATATTTGTGTTTGTTAAGATGTTAAGTAAACCACGGAAAATGAATACTTACATGTGAACAGGGTGCGGCTGACAGGTGGGACAGACGCTGTCGTCTCTGCTCACCTCCAGCACCGTGTCGGGGAACCACACTGCAGTCTTACAGGCTGGGTAGCCCGTGCAGGACAGGTACCTACTGCAGGAGGACAGGCAGAGTCAGAGAGCCTACTGGAATACTGTTCGAGCCCATTTACCGCACATTTTTACAAAGCATACTTTACTGTCTTTGATTCCTCTCCTACCTTTCAGGCACACTTTCTTTATTTGACAATCAACTTGTAAAACCTTGAACCTCACCTGTTTCCGTCCCTCTTCCTCTTCAGCACCATGTCCCGCCTGCAGTGAGGGCACTTCCTGACCGGCAACGGCATCTCCATGTCCTGCTGCTCCTCTTCGCCGATCTCCTGAGCTGCTCCCAGATAAGGCGACAGGGCTTCATCTAACCTGAGGCCACAACAGAAAATTACCGTTTTACCCGGGTCACAACAACCTCACCAGCCTGCAGCGACTCCATTACGAGTGTAACTGATCCGTCATTTGGGCCAGAAATACACAAATCTGCTCCAAGCGAACTAACTTTTTCGCCTTCCTGACGGACTCGATGAAGACTGTCTTGTATTTCTGGATGTGGTTCTGCAGCACGCTCAGTTTGTCCTTCCTGCCCTCTGATACCAGCTTCAGGTCAGCCTCCAATTCAGCACGCAGGTTTGGTTTGGACATCTCATATCCCATGGAGTTATAACCTAAACAAACACACACACACATAGTTGAGTGACAGGCAAAAGCATAAGGGACTATTTATGTATTACGGCCTATTGTGTATTGCGTTATGAAGTGTGTGTGTGTGAACATACCCTCCACCAGTCCCATGCCGAGCTCTCCAGGCAGAAACCTCTGATCAGCTGTCAAGCCCACATACATGCGACTCTTGATGGTCTCGATGTGGTCGGCATGGGTTGCATCGGTGCCTGTAACAGTTCATACAGTTTGAGACAAAACAAAGAACAATTCTATGCTGACTTGACAAAAGAGTCCCTTTTGTGGGATCCTTCAATTACTTGTGAGTGGTTGTAAACACATAAGTCTAAAATAAATCTGTCTCATGTCATGTGTGTGTTCACACCGTACCGATGCCGTGCTTCTCCATCAGGGATATGAGGTCGGCTTCAGTGAGCAGCTGCGGAGGACTCGTCTGTCCGTCCACCATCTCGACAGCAGAGGGCTGGAACTGAGAGCCTTGTTCGAACACTGGAATCACCTGGCACGTACAAAGCAGGTTTACTGGAGGTATCGCACACAACCTTTCCTCTGGGTTTAGTAGTTAAGAAGCCTTTAGATTAGGCCGCCAATTAAGTTCATAGTTTGTTATCACAAAAACACACACATGTCATACCTTAGCGCTCCACCTGTCATACGGGTAAACGTCCAAGTAGTTCCTTGCAATGATCATGAGTCCCGAGGTGGAGAAGTTCTCCTGGGCGATGTCAATGTCCACCACAGTCTCCTGCCCCAAAGCATCCTGGGATACACAGGCCAGGAAGTGCCGGACAATGAACTCATACACACGTCCTTCATTGCCCTGGACGCAGAAGAAAAAACAGAAGTGATCCGTGAAACTTTTTAACATATTGTTTCCATTGTGTTGTTGAGGAAAATAAACAGTTGAGAGGTATGACAAAGACTGTTTGAGCGCAGAACAACATGCCACCATTTACCAACAGTGGGTGCATTTTGGTACGATCGTTTACTATGATCAAAAAAGTAAACAAGAACATTTTAGTCGAAAAAAAATGACCCCAGAAGGAAAAAAACCTCAGATTATGAGAGGAAAAAAAAGGTACGTTTGCACAAACTGAGCGCCAGTTTTTGCAGACTTACCTGCAGTCCACCGGAGTACTTGGTGGGGTGTATGGGGGGGTGGGCTTGGTCAGATTTCTTGCCCTGTCGAGGGTTGGGACCCCCAGGCTGCTCGATCACCCGCTGGGCGAACGTCCCCCAGACCGGGCTCTGTGTCTGCTGCTCCACCAGGGGCCCGAGAGGCAAGGTTGTGGGGAAAATGTTTGTCTCTGTACGGGGGTAGCTGATATACCTGAGCAGAAGAAAAAAAAACAAAACATACAGTCACAAGTCATCTTCACACAGACAAACTAAGAGATTGCTGATTAGTTCATCTATTAAACACCTGACAGACACCGCTCTGCCAGATGGTCTCTTTCCGTGTACAAAAATAGGCACAACTTTGAGGTGGTTTAAAAACCAGGTAAACAAAAAAGGCATTTGACTGACACCACAAAGCCTCTATTAAAGGTGGCTATAAGCCAGCTATCTGACTGAAACAAGTTCAAAGGAAACATCACAACTACTGTGGGATGATAAACTGACATGGAGCATATGGTCAGACCAAAGCAATACCTCACAGTATGAATGCACATTACCTAACGCGCACTCACCCCTGGGTATACAGTTTCTCTGCAATTTTCATGGTCTCTTTGGCGCTTATTCTTAGTTTCCGAGATGCAAGTTTCTCCAGTTCCTGTTGGTCGATGAAGGTAGAGGATTGTTCAGAGTGGGACAAAATACTGAAAAAAACAAACCCGCATACACTTTATGCCACAAACGGGTGTGATTTGAGATGCAGTGTGTGTGTGTGTGTGTGTGTGTGTGTGTGTGTGTGTGTGCGTGTACAGTGTATGTTTGTGGCTGCTTGGCTTTGTATTGTTACCACGGTGTCCAAAGGCAGCGGTCTCCACTTGCTCTTGGGTTTGCTGGTTACTGAGGTGACTGTTGCTATGGGATCCTGGAAATGAGTGAAAAGGATATTCTGGTGTGGACCTTCCTACATGTGGCTTTCAGCCCATTTCATTTAGGCAGATTCACAACACACAGTTTAAATGTACTGCTGCGTCCTCCAGCTGCAGCAGGAGGTTACACATGTGTGGGTGAATTTACAACACACACACATAGTGGGGGTAGAATAACAATTAATGACACTGTCATACTTTACTGCGCTATCACAGTAGCTGGTATTAGGTAAAAATATCTGATGATGTTGAGAAATGATTGAGTAATGTTCTGACCTGATTAGACATCACTTGGATTTTCTTAATGGGTTATTTAGGGTTACACATTTTATGCTAAAAACGTTTTTTTAAATGTTTACAGCTTTTGAGACAATAAGACATCTGGAAACTTTCCAATATTTTGTCACTGAAAGTTACTGTTACTATTCTGTGGTACAAATCGAAGAAGGCAACAGTTGTCTTACTTCTTTTATCTTTACTTCGATAATGTTGTGTTTGAGGAGGTTACTCAGTACAGATGTAGAGTAGTTGTCTCCATTTGGTTTTGTTGTGGTTACGACAGGGCAGCTGGTAATAAGTTTAAGCATCATGGCAACTCAAATCATCTTATACATTAACATTTTCAGACATCAGAAGGCAAATAAGACCAATTTAAAAACGAGAAGTATCCTTCAGACCTTCAACCTTCCATTCACAAAAATAAACTAGGAACAAAGTACATAACATAAAATCTATAACATGACATAAAACACAGACAGGCACTTACCTCCATGCAGATCTGGTAGAGCACCAGGCAAGCTGTGTGGTTGAAGAGACGGTTTCTTTTCCAGTTGAACTCTACGGTGTCCTCCTCCACCTCGTGCAGCACTGAGACAAAGACGGACACAAAGGACAGATGGGATGAAGATGAGCGAGTTTGTATCGGTTAAAGACCCGAACGCTACCAATCTGTGCGTCCGTGCACAGATGAGTTTGTACCTTTGATCTTGTAGAAAGTCTCAGGTATGAAAGCCTGGATGGCTTTGAAACGCTCCACCACAAAGCCCAGAGTGGGAAACTGACAGCTGCCGTACGAGATCAGCTGATTGCCCAGAGACTCTGGAAAGATCTTCTGCAGGCGAAGTGTCTGGAATCGAGTGAAGGACGCACCTGGAGAAGATGAGCACAGGAGACATGTGACATTCTTTGAGATGAACAGAGCCAACAGTGTTGTATCATGGAGTGAAGTGCACCATTATCTGTTTAGATGTTCCATAATGAAAGACTATTTTTCACCTGCATTAGTGTGTCACTGTGTATTACTAGTAGTTTAGGAGTGCTACCGTACCTATCCGCAGGTCCAGCTCCTGACGGACATCGACAGCATCGCTGATGTTAGCATCTGGCTCAATGAGGGTCTCACAAGCTCTCCGAATGGAGTTGGGGGTGATCTCAGAAAACTTTGCCCGAAATACTTGTAAATTGGGCTTCACTATAAAGCAAACATTAAAAAAATACACACACACTATTATCAGAAGCAATTTGTGGACAAACGTACACAAAACACAACATGTCGTTTTAACTCAGTTTGTGGACAGATGAGTGAGATATGACGTGTTTAGAGTCTGTTGTGTTCGGACAGCGCCAGGCTAGCTGCCTTCCCCTGCTTTCGGTGTTTGTGCTAAGCTAACTGTATTCAGCTTTATATTTACCGTACAAACATAACAGAGGTATCAATCTTCTCCTCTAACTCTCAGCAGTAAGCGTATTTCCCAAATGTCAAACTATTCCTTTAAAAAGGAGTTTAGAGATGCACGGTCAGTTGCAGCCACACAACAACAACAACAACAACAACAACAACAACACACATTACTATCATACCTGCTTTGCAGACATCTATGACTTCAAAGCCAATGTTTTCTCCCTCTCTGTCACAATCAGTCCAGATGACTAAGGCCTGGCACTGCCTCACCTCTTTCTCCAGTGTCCGCTAGAGAGATAGAGAAAAAAGGGACAAAAGAAAGAGAAAGCCTATTTCTAGTATCCATATTCATCAGGATTTCCTCTCAATGAAAATGGTGCCCTCGTACTGCAGAGAGAGGAAAGGAAAGTACATCATCTGCTGATGGATCCCATAGGTTAAGACAGTAGTTAAGCATACCTTGATTTGTTTCATGTTCTCTGGACAGTACTTCTCTACCTCAGCATCATATAACAGCACAGGATTGCAACTGTGCCTGTGGAGAGAAAAGGTACAAATATAATCAGTTGTTATGATGCCGAGTGATTCTGAATATATACCAAAAAAACAACAACAATCCAGTTTCAACTTACCATTTCTGGAACTGTGCTTTAAACTCCAGACCCAGTAAATGTCCTGATACTGAAGTCATTGTTACGGTCACATTCTGGACATAATGAAACCAGAACAATGTTAAACACAACACAGAACAGACGTACACAAGCATATCTAATTATTCACTGTATTCACTTACCTGACCAAAGAGATGATACTCATACTCGTAGATTTTATTATACTTTGACATCCCCTCTCTCTAAAATGGGAAAGAAGACAATGAGTGCTGGAGAAACCAACAAGAAACAGAAATGTATATCTTTATCATTCCTAACAGTAGGCTCTGATTTTGGTAGATTTGGTTAAACTGCCAGGCTATGGAAGAGTTTGTATCAATAGTAACATATACAGTGAATTTATATATATGGGCGTGACTAATAATAAAATCATCTGTTGGTGGGTATTGTATGGTCTGTGAGAAGACATGACTAACCCTCCTGGACGAGCCGCCGGACATGATCTCTGAGATGCCTTTGGCAGCATCGTTCTTCTCGGCCACGCAGAGGACCCGCTTGATCTGAGCCCGGCTCCGGATCATGTCTGCCTGCTGCGGTGTGCCCGGACACCGGTCACTCTGCTCCGCACAGAAACCCCTCCGTTGGACTCCTAGCCGCTGTAATCCAGATCGAAGCAGAGATCTCCTGAGGAGGTGCACTAGCATACCTGTCCGCTCTCACATGAAGAAGCCGGTCCTCCAGACAGCCTGCTAGCATGTTAGCTAACGTAGCTAGCTAAAGCCATGGTACCTGCTTCACAAAACTTTAAAAAAAGTAAAAGGTAGTCACCGGTTGACAAACTTCACCCTCAACGACTTTAATAGATGAACAAATATGAAAACAATTTCTTCGAAGCCAATTAAAAAATGCTAATTAAAAAAACGTGAGGAGCAACATCAACCTTTGGTTCTGTTTACAAATTCCGCGCTCGAGTCGCCTGTCAAATACTGCCGTAATCCAGGTCGCAATACTGTCGTAAAATCATGGAACCACCGAAACGTCTGAAAAAAAACAGGTTAATATTAATAATTGCACAATAATTGCATTTAAATTCCAGGCGTAGTGTGTATTTATTAATAATACATCATTCAGAATAACAATTATAGCGTAAATGTTAGTCCTACATTATATTAATGTTAAATAGAAAATGAAAATACACCCTAAATCAGAATTTGCATTTTGCCATTTAAACAGCACTGAGATTATGTCCTAAAACAAATGCCACGTGTGCGTTACACATTTTTGTTTGCAATTTTAGACATTGTAATTAGATCCGATAGGCCTACATTTAAATTTGACTACTTTCTTGTCAAATAAATAAGTAAACAATTCAGTATTTCTCCAACTAAATATTATTCCTGGCAGCATGGACAGAGTTCAGAAAATTGCCCTGGTGTTAGAAACAAATGTTTCATTTCACAGGTCCATCATTTCCTAATAAATCGGTTGAAAATTATTACTTTCTTAAATCGGAGACTGATTTTTAAGGAAGAGATTGTTAAGTATATAAACTGTTTTTGATTTCTAAAGGAATTTCAGGACACATGCAAATACTCCATTAAAGTAAAACTTACAGAAAATACAACCGAACAGCTACCCAAGTATAGATTATGCCAAAAATCAAAATAACCAAACATTTTGAGATGTTTGGACTGCCTCATGACCTCCGTCTTCCTAAAATCCTCGCTATGGCTTTCCTAAAAAATGCACAAATGTGCCCCCAAACTGGAGAATTGACAATGAGTTACTGACAGGCTCATTGATCTTTTCGATCATCACATGAAGTGCTTGCGATCGTCAAAGACACATTTCTGTTTTAGGGTGGAACTTCCCCAGATGAGGAGGCGGATTGGTCACCTGACAAGACTACAACCAGCTGGGTAAACATGGCGTCTGTCTCTGGATGTGGGAATTACGTGTAGCGCTTCTATCTGTTAACGGTGTCTCTGTCGCACCAACGTCCTGAACACAAGGACGAGCAGGAGACGACGCATGGAGACATGAGGGGGAGACGGACAGAGGCGCTTCACTGATGGTGCCTATATTTTTCTCTCGGTGCACAGATTGAATGGTCTGATGCCTCCCCGGACCTCCTGATCGGGGCGACATAATTGATTTTGTTAACAGAGACACAGATCTGTGTTTCTGTCGAGGTGACTACTTTTATTTTATCTGACTAATATCAAGGCTCTTGTTCGACTCTGTTCTGCAGGGGTGGAGCTGCATTTTGGGCCCACTCTGCTCTGGGACCCCCTTTCTTTTAAATTACATAAACAGGCTTGATTTTTGTGTGGACCCTCTCCATCTCTGGACCCCCTAGGATCTCCTGCTCTTTTAACCTCACAAAATAAATGGGCAGCAGGATGGTCAATCTGAGTGCACTTTATATGGTTGCCCTCCACCGCCGTGCTCTGACAGCTGGTTTATGACTGCTGGTCGTGCTGCACTGTGTGTCGTGTTTCTCATGCCGTGCTCAGCAACACCACTATGATAGGCTCCCCTGACGTGGTGGCGTTCACTAAAGAGGACGAGTATGGGCAGACAGCTCCGGACCCCTGGGCTCTCCCTGAGGAGTTCTCTGTCCCTCTCCATCCGCTGGCCGACTCAAACCCTTGGGCCAAGACCTCCTATGCCAAGTTCACCAAAGACTTCATCCTCATCTCTGAGTTCTCTGAGCAGGTGGGCCCTCAGCCTCTCCTCACCATCCCCGATGAGCCCAAGGTCTGCGGCACCTTCGATCTCAACTACTTCTCCCTGCGCATCATGTCAGTGGACTACCAGGCCTCCTTTGTGGGACATCCACCTGGCAGTGGCTACCCCAGGCTCAGTTTTGTGGAGGACTCGAGGGTGGTGCTGGGCGACTCAAAGGAGGGGGCGTTCGCCTACGTCCACCACTTTACCCTTTACGACCTGGAGGCGAGGGGCTTTGTGCGACCGTTCTGTATGGCGTACGTGTCGGCAGACGAGAGGAAGATCATGCTGCAGTTTCAGGAGCTGTCGCTCCGCTTCTCACAGGCCTCCGAGTGTCTGAAGGCCGGGAACAGGAGAGCATTTGCCAAGGAACTTCAGAGGAAGCTCCGAGACCTGGAGTAAGAACTTTTTAACTGCTAAAAGATATCTGATACCATCTCAAAGCTTTTGTTCGGTCGTTTAGGTAAAGGGTGAACAGAATAATGTTTTGTAATCGCAGGGCTGGATTAATCAGTTAGAGGGTCCTGGAACAAATATTTGCTGTTGCCCCCTTACAGACCCCTCACCTACTGCTCTCTGTTTATTGTCCATGTACCTAGTTCCCATTAAGTAGAGTACTCACAGAAGACTGTACATGGCAGTTTGATAATGTGCCCAGACACCCGGAGACCAACCAGGGCTCCTATACTGGAATAAAACCACCAGACTCCAAGGTTTCTGTGTGTCAGTTAGTTTGCGGTAATTTGATTAAACGCAGCTTAATCAGCTTTATATGCATCATGTGAGCACACTATAAACTAGTAGGGCATTCCATCTTTGAGGGTTTCTTTCGATTATTGGACGGCTAACAAAAATGGTTATCCACAATTTTAATGCTTTTGGTCCAGAAAGACTAAATAGGCAAATGGGGGGAATTTTTGTCCTTACGTTTTAACACTGTCATATAGGTCAAGTTATGACAAACACTTTTTTTTTTTTAATTGAAAGGGTTGAGATCAGAAGGGAATTGAATCCTGATGCCCCTAAAATAACAAAGCTTTAAAATAAGATTTTGACACAGGGTACTTCTACCGGTCAGGGTTCCACGATCCTGTTCACGATGGCAATGATAACATGCTGATTATGATGTTAACTTTGTTCGCCATCCTGGTTGCGTGTCAGCACGCCAACATTCACTAATGGTTGCAAAACACTAAGTACAGCTGAGGCTGATGGGAATGTAAGATGAGATGAGATAAGATAATCCTTTATTGGTTCCGCAGCGGGGACATTTACAGGATTACAGCAGCGTATAGTATAATGTCATTAGTCTTGCGGGTTTGTGGTCATAAACTAAACCAAAGTATTGATTATTTCAATCTGATGTTGGAGAAAGATGTTTGAATTCATAGAAGACATTTCACTCAAAACCACAAATGTGATGGGGACCCTTACCTGTGTTTTCTTCCCCTCAGGTACACTCACTCCGTGCTGCAGCGGGAGGAAGGCCTGCAGAGGGAGGCGGGGCCTCAGTGCATGTACTCCGCTCATGCTGTGGACAAGGCCAACGAGCTTGCAAATGTGGAAAAGAGCATCTACGAACACAGAGACCTGCTGAGACAGATCAGCTCCTACCATCACCGCCCACGCAGAGATCCTAACGCTGTCACCTGCCAGAAGTGTGTCACTGAGTGCTTGAGCGAGTGCGAGCAGCTGTTAGACAAATACGCCAAGCTCGCCAACCCCTTCAGTTACACCAACAAGTGGGGCAAGAGGGAGGAAGGGCAGGGTCAGGTGGACGAGGAAGGAGGTGGAGAAGAAGTGGACGAGGAGGAGGGCGTAAAGCGCAGGCCGTCCTACACGCCACAGCTGATCAAAGCTAAGTCGGCGAAGTGCTTCGACAAGCGCCTGAAGACCCTGCAGGAGCTGTGTGACAATCCTTTCTACGAGGCCACCGTGGACCTCCTGAAGGAGACGGAGAGGAGTTTCCGGGGCGACCTGTGTTACCTGCACACACGCCGCCTGGACAGGGCACTGCGCACGAAACAGAGAGTTACCGACTTCCTGTTTGAGGATGACCTCGGAGATGATGATGAGGATGAAGGGGGAACACTAAGACCATTCTGTGCTGTGAACCATGCTGTAGATACCTTTACACTATTAAATCCACCTCCTATTGTGCTAGGACCAGAACCTCTAGACCCAGATGCTCTGGAGCCTCCATATCCTCTAGACCCAGCCTCTGTGACCAGCCACACTCGGGAGAATGAGCTTGGGCTTGTGGAGAGCCATCTGGAGTCCTCTCCCTCAGACCAGACTCTGGAGACCCAGGGGAGCTCGGAGCAGACCAAAGGAAGCTTTGGCAGCGATAAGAGCGGGACCGGTCCAGCAGAGAGGCAACAGAATCTGGCTTGTATGAAGTCAGAAGCTCCTGATTCTGACTTGACCCCTGACCCTGAACCTGACCATAACACTGACCTGGAGAGGGAGAGCAGCAGTGAAGAGATGGAGGACGATGGAGACGGGACACCTGTGTCCTTGCTGGAGGTGGTGTCTGAGCTGGAGGCCAGCAGAGAGGATGAGTGTGATGGGGTAACTGATGGGGCTTGTGAGATGCAGTCTGACTTGTTGGTTCCTTTGGACACAGCGTGCTGTATGTCCCAAGAGGGTTTCCTTTATGAGGCTTCGGCCCCAGAGGCGGTGCCTCGTCTTGGCCAGAGCTCCGACCTACAGCCCTGTGAAACCCTGGTGGTCAACCAGGAGCCCCAGGCCCTGCTTCATCTCCAGGATGACTACGCGGTGGGTGTGGGGTCCCCAAGCTCAGAAAGCCCTGCGGCTGGCCTGGAGCTGCCTGTGGGGCTCCTTGGAGATGCAGTTTCCCGAACCTCAGCGGAGGATGGGTTTGAGTGTACTATGAGTGCTTCTACGGGGTCTGATCGGGCTGCCTCACCTCTGGGCTACGGGGGGGTTGTGACCCTGCGTCAGAGGAAGAAGGCTGGACAGGGAGCCTTGAGGTTTATCCGACAGTACCCCTTTGCCATGCAAGCTCTGTGGTGTCTGCTCAGCGGCAGAACCCTGGTGGTGCTCGGGGCAGACGAGGGGACAGTCCGCCGACTGGTTGCTGCTCTGGCCCTCTTTGTGCCTGGTCCTGGGAAGTGTGGAGAGAGGGTTCAAGCCTGGCTGTCCTGCCCCTTCACCCTTACCGACCTGCAGAGGTGGAAACTCGTTGGATTGCAAAGGTATTTACAATTTGCATTTCGATTTAAAGCATATTCACCGTACACAAATAAAGATGACAGATGGTGTTCCTAACATACATTTAATAAAAAAAACATTGAGCTTGATGCTCACAGATCTTACGGAGTCTCCATCAATGTGAAGTTTGAAAATAACGGTTTATTCCTGCTTGTAGTTTGTATCACACCGTACTAAACTGCTACTCATCTGGTCCGACTCAGTCCTCGATGACTCACACAACCAGCTATTCAACTCACAAACCTTCCAGCCTCACATCTGTCCTTGGACTTCATTTCTATTCATCTTTCTTACGACAGAATGGGAATTGCAATATTTTACATTTAGAGAGGAGGCCTTAGCTTCATGAACCCATGTCTTTGTAGAGACGATTGGATCTACTTCCTCTTTACACTCTCACCTTATTAATGTAGGGCATATATGCAGACAAATCTGCATATTCATATAGAATATTATCTATTTAGTTGTTGTACAATTACTACACAAACATTCAAATGCATGTTAATCTTTATTGAAGATTCAATTGAAACATAGAGGATAACATACAAATTGAATGATTAAACATATGTTTGTGTATAAGCTGCCTTCACATCACCAGTATGTGTCTGTCTGTCCCTCACAGAGTAGCGTCCCCTGTGGGTTCCAGCATGCTTTACTCGCTCTCCCGGTACAGTCGCTACATCTCCATCCTGGATGCCGACCAGAAGACCTTGCGCTGTCCGTCGTACCGTGGTCAACTCCTTGCCAAAATAGCCGACCACCGCACCTACATACGCCGCGGTTCCACCTACTTCCTCCACTTACAGAGCACGCTCTGTCACCTGGCAGCCAAGGCCTTCCTGTTCACCTTCACCCACCACCTCCACCTGCCGGTCAGCTCCACGGAGGGGCCCGAGGTTGTGGAGGGCCGACGCCTCTGCTTCCTGCAGGAGCAGCTGGGGCTGGGAGAAGAGGACAGCCAGATACTGCTCTACCTCAGCCAGCTCATCACTCAGCAGTACCTACAGCCGGCTGCCGGGAGCAGAGCAGCAGCAACTTGTTTTAGTTTTAACTACACCACCAGCGTTTTATACAAAATCTGATATCGTATTGGGACAAGGATTTTCCACATATGTTTTAGCAAAAGTCATGGTTTTTAATGGACTAATAGTGATCTTAATAAGGTCCACGGCCATTTTAGTTTCAAGACAGAGTTCTGCACAGGTTGTTTTATCTGTCTTCTTCTCCGGTCTTTCTCTTTCCCCTGTGTGCAGGAAAAAGGAGTCCGAGTGCGTCATGAATGTCACTGAGCGGTTCACTTTGTCCGGAGCACGTTGACGCTCGCAAACACGCATAACGGAGCAGACCAAGGTCGCTTCTACTTATTGTCCTATGAGTCATTTGTGGGTGTGTGTATCGCTTGCGCTGGCTTGTTTAAGGTCAGTCTCCACCCCTCTCCTCACCACACACACACTCACAAACACGCACACACTCTCAATCCAACATAGCTGTCTGTGTATTGTTAGTGCTGGTCTGACCTCAGCTCGCTAAATTGCAGCTCTGTGATAACGCCAACCAATCACTGAGCCTGTCTATCAGCCATGATATCATCTCAGCTATGTATAAACATGTTTTTCATCCAACTCGCATATGCTGACATTTTCTGCTTGTGGAGAACGGACGTCTCTCTGAATCTGTCCGTGAAACCTTCTTAGCACTGCGCAGGCTTGTTACAGCTGGCTTTGTGACCTCTCGCTCTCGCGCTGAAAACTACCACACAACTTCCAAAGGCCAAAACATTTTCTTTTTAATATTTATTTTGTGAATCAATTTGAACCCCACATTCCCGCGGTAATCTCTTGTCACGTTGTTGGATTGTAGCTCAGTAGATTTGACTATTGAGAGCATGGAGTAAACATTCCCAGATTTCAGGTTGCGATGCATGAGGAAGTGTATTTGCTGTGTGAGTTATAGATCCGGTTGGCCCCGCGTGATATTTGCATGAACAGAAACAACGTCACCGCGACACATACTCACCCATGTTGGGCCAAGCCTGTCACTATAATGTGCTGGCGAGCATTTTCATGGATATTACTCACACGGTCCGGAACATCTTAAAGCTACTTAACCTAAATGTATTGAATTTCACTGTTGTCTTAAAGTTGTGTGAGGGTGTTGTGATGTCAGCATGAGACTGTCTTGTGCCAGGGTGAATCGCCTTAGTGATGATATTTCTGTTTTGTTGTGTATTTGAAGAAGATGCTGAACAGTTTGAGGAGAAGTTGCTGAGACGGTGATGTTGTTTGTGAAGATGTTACTATGGGGGAGGGGGGGGGAAATTTCCTGTGCCATCAAAAGCAAAACTCTAAGCTTGACGCTTGAATTAGGACAGTTGCCTATTATTTATTTTCTTCTGAACAACCCTTGTTGGATGTGTGATATGAACAAAACTCAACTGTATTTATTTCTTTAGTACAAATTGTGGATTATGACCGTCATGCTGAGAATGCCCAGATTTTCTCTCTGGAGGATGTTGGAGAATTTCACAGTTCGGTAATCTTTTAAGGGCTCATGAGCCAGTGAGACGACACTGAACAAGCGTCTCTGATGGTATTTTAGATTTTACTGTTCCTAATTCTGTGGCGTCAGTGATGGAGCTGTAATTCTGTATCTAGAATGGTAACTGTACTTGTGACTGCATGGTCAAGAGTTTTAATAGTCAAACCGCGTTGGACCATGGCTTCCTGCTACGAACAAGACACTTTTATTTTTAATGGCATACGCTTTTAACTAACGGCAACGTCACATTAGTTCCACCTAATGTATTATTTCAGTTGGTTTTTTTTGACGCAGGTTATCACTTTTTATTTTTTAACTGCTTGAATAACACGTTTTACTGCTAGGTTGTTACTTATTTTTAAAGATTTTGTCCCTCTAATGCAAAAAGGTGAATGTAATCTGAATAAGCCATACCACAGTGTGCTTAACGCGTCGTCACTCAGTGTCCTTATGTTGCCACATCATGCCCACCTTTTGTATCCCATCACGAGGGAGTGTCTCGTTCTCATCAGCCCTGTGAGACGTCACTGTTCCCAGTGATCTTAAAGAAGCACGTTGTGAATGTCTTGATGCTTTTATGTAAATGTTGATATTCATTTATTCCATTAAATTATTTGAATCCATTTCATTTTTGCGTGGATTGATGGGTAATCATGGTGAACATGGCTTTGGGATACTGGATCATCATTTAACACTAAACACTCCCAACAGCCTTGTCTGTGCGACTCGCTTTAGCGATGACGGATGTGTGAGCAATCGAGGTGTCGTGAATAATTAATGCTCATCTGTGAAAACAACTAATTGCCCTACAGGAGCAGCAGGAGGCAAGGTGGTGGACTGAGGAGAAAGTAGCAGTAAATGAATGATGCAAGAACACATTTGCAATATTAAAATATTGTCATGCAGGGACAGAGTGAGGGGGCAGCTGTGTCACTCATAATGCAAACAAGTGGGCTTCTCCCACTTTAACCTTTAATATTAAAAATGTAAACAATCCGATTGCACTATAGATATGCCTTAGATGACAACTCATGTAAGAAAACTCGTCACTATTATGACAACCTTAAACTTCTACGTCTTGAGTAGCTACTGTGGGCATGGCAACATTGACTAATTACAAATATACTGAATAAGAATCTTCTTTGGGATGAGTTTAAAAAACATGGGAACGGTCATTAAGAGCATTGAAGCTTAAGTAGTAAATGTTATTTAAGAAAAGGGGACAAAAACGATTGAATTTGGCAATATTGACCGTTTTTTCAGAAACTAAAGGAAATGTGCTTTTTTGTAATCATGTAGCCGAGACACGAAATGTATTTTTTTTTAGTAAAACTATTATTTCCACCTTTTCCTCAAACACCTAAATCTCACCTTTATAAAGGATCTGAGCATGTGCAGAGGTCACCTCTCAAAGATCAGACACACAATGAAAAATATTAAGATGCTTAACTTCATGTATGGTTAGAAAATACTCTGCAACCTTTGAGTGACTTATGATACTTCAAGAAAATGTAAACAACCAAACTACAATCAATGTTTTTTATTTCACAAGATGAATTATGTTTTGAGATCAAGAATGATGAAACTTGAGTCTACATTGGATCTCACACTTTCCCTACATCATAAAACAAAAGTAAGCTCAAGTAAATCAATCATTTTATTTAAAATTACACTACAAGAACAATGATGAAGACAATGTGTTGAGGATTAAAACAATGACATTTCAAAACAAAACTCGCCTCCCTCCCAGCCCTCTTCAAGTTAAATGAAAAACAGAATTTAAAATGACCGTCACAGTGGGCATGACTAGCTGGAATGACAGGCTTTATCCAGAAACAGCTAACCTCAACTTCCTACTTTGAGATTTTGGAGTTGAAGGCTTTAGTTAGGTAGAAAAACAAATGTAAGTAATACAATATGGCCCCTCTCTGTGTTCTCTCCTTTATTCTCAAAAACTGACCCCTTTAAGGGCAACTGAGGGATGATGGTGAAGATATCAGCGATTTGTTTGACTGAAATAAAGACGATGTTGCTTTGGGGTTTTGAGTGCACAGATGGTAGCTGGGTGAGCCCTGATGCCCAACGGAAAATAGACGGGATGTCTGCACTTAGCCAGAACATCCTCTGCATCCACAATGGGTGCATTCAATGATCCTTCCCTGCAGAAAGAAACAAGATTTAGATCACAAGGACACACACTGTAGTGAGAATCCCCCAAACTATGTCAGACTTACGACTTCCAGCTTGCTCTTGGGGACTCTGCAGATGCAGTTGGTTCCAAAGTTGGTGTCTCGGGTTTGGATGCAACGCAGGCAGCACAGGTTCTCGTAGCCCTGCTTCTTCCACTTGGCAATCAGGTTCTTGTCTGCGTAGCCTTCCTTTATACAGTAGTCATACAGCTCTGTCAGGAGACGCACAGAAAGACAACACTGGTTTGAAATCTAGTACGCAGCATACAACTATGATTGGGTTTCAAATGTTTGGTCATGTGCAAATACAAAAAATAAAGCAGACTCTGGTATGCATTTGTTGAAATCTTGGCATGTCTTTACAGAATATGTACAGATAAAATGTCATTCAAACATGCGTAACAGATTATCAATATGTCATGCGGAATTTTAAGGACTGTATCAAATGCTGAAGAGGAAGAAGAAAAAACAAAGTGGAAAAGGGAAACAGACTTGAAACAGTTCAACAGGTAGAGGGGATGTCTGTCTACCTCTGCTGATGGCTTTCCTTTTGTAGAAGAGGTCGTAGATGTATCGACTCCGCTGATGATGCAGTCTGAAAATTGGCCAAAGGGACTCCACCTTTCGCTTTCCCTCGTGAGGCTCTGTTTCAGCTGGGGAACAGAGGGAACATCTGGACAGTTAGCTTCGGTAAGCAGAAACTAAAATCAACGGTGCACTTGTGTGTGGGTAGTTCAAACGCATCTCTGGGCTAGGTGTGACGTGCCAAAGATACCCAACGTATTGCATACTATATGATATATAAATCTGCTACTAGAACAGCCTCCACCACTATTACACTACTGTCCTGAATGTGTTGGAGGGGGTTGAGGTTTCTATCAGTATCTACCAGGCTTTGTGCTTGGGGGGCATTTTCCCCAGTATTACCCAAACAGTTGCAAGCTTCTGTCTTAAGTACAACTGTACACAGTAACATTCCCTTAATTAGAGCCATGTGGTAAAGCCAAAAGCAATGGCGTATGTGGACAGTTTATGGTCACATAGTTTAAGTAGTTTAACACTAAACAGAAAAAGTTAAATTACAGAAATAATACACAATTGCATCTGACTGAACTACAACCACTTCACCAGTAGCTAGCATTAGCCGTTCATTATTCGTTTTAACCAACTGGCGTTAGCGTTCAGTAGCCGATCGTGTTGCTTATCTATTTGAAAAATGTCAGCCAAAAATCCTTCCACAGACGCCACCATGGGATTAATCGGCTGTAAAATAAAACTAAATATGAATCTTATCAACATGTAAAGACGATGCGAGGTGAACACGGAGGTTATTTCCCCCGCACAGACTGCGTGCTGTGGTTGTAGCTCGACGGTGTGTTGTGAGGAGCATCGGGATCATCTTCTACTTCTTACCTTCTCTCATCTTCTGATCCAGCTCGTCCAAAGTGGGCTCGATGAGCTCCCATCCGTCTGGAGGAGGCTTCCGACTCCTCTTTACTTTCGGCATGTTGTTATGTTTAATACAATTAGAGAACAAAAGCTCTCCGTGTTTTCCTGTTGATTTCTACCAACCCGTTTTCGGCGCCACAATTTGACGTCACTTGGGGGGGTCCATTTCACCATCTTGTCGCTTGAATGGCGTCACTATGCCAAATAAACACAACTCCATTTACCTGCGTTCAATAACTTCTTCAATCTTCTCTCATACTAACACATTATTTATGTTTATGTTGACATTTATTTAGGTCAGTTTAGACGCGTGCTGAGATTAAAGCACTGTAGAAGTCTTTCTGTCGTTATTAGCATATTGCATAACAACATGGTTTAGTTTATGGTATTTCATAATTCACGTAATTTAGTCAAATGACTGCGAATTATACGGAAATGTGTATATCATTTAGTTTATAACAGAACTATATATGTTTACTATATTGTTGAGAAGAAAAACCTGTATTAAAGATTTGTTAAAAGGCAAATACTTGAACTACTCGGGAGTATTTCTATACTCAACCCCAGTGAGAGTTTAGCAGCTGTCAGTTCGTAGTACTGTTTTGACACTTGTGTTTTCTGTCAGTATTTAGTTGTTAGAAAGTTTTTAAATACAGAATTTGTTTGTCAAAATGCCCAAAGGAGGTAAGAATGATTTAAACCTGCTACAGTGACTTGACATCAGTTTTGTACATTTGTTAACCTGCTGTTAGGCACCCGACATCCATATCTGTGTGTGATGTCATTTGTTATCATGGTTGTTGATTTAGGTAGGAAAGGTAGCTACAAGGGTCGCGTGCGGACGTACACGAGCCCCGAGGAGATAGACGCCCAGATGAAGGCAGAGAAAGAGAGGAAAAAGGTTGGTGGATTTACATGCAAAGACTGTTTGAATCACGTCCCACACAGAGACAAGTGTGTTCAGCCTTTCACTAAAGTTTTTCCTACACTTCCCAAAATGCAGCTCGATAACATCTGTGTTTACAAACCAATCTTCATGTCTAACATTGCTGGAGTGCCCTTTAACCAGCCACAGGAGAGGAGTTAATGTGAAAGCAGCCGATGAGATGTTTGAATAGAGTAAATAATAACTGTGTATGTATTCCCTGTTGTCCCTGCATGTGTTTAACCTGACGCGTTGGTTTGATGACAGTCTTCTGTGCGCGCTCTCCTTATTTATGTGTCATAGCAAGAGCAGGAAGCAGAAGAGGCGGGGGGTGCAGCTCAGAATGACATGGCAGAGGAGAAGCTACCGGCATCGGGATCAGAAGACAGCGACGATGAAAACTCAGATGTACCACCACACTGTTTCTGTCATTCCCTTGCTCTGTAACCAAACACACACTAATACAGTAATATAGTAATACCATTTGTTATTCATAATTGATGTGCACCTTTGAAGGCCCTTGCATGGCAGTTTTTTGTCATTTCGCTGTTTGCTATATTCAAAGCATTAACTTCATGTTGTACGAGCTGCTGTGATGTGTTTGCAGAGGAGGAGAGCGGGGGTGGAGGGCTTGATAGAAATCGAGAACCCCAACAGAGTGGCTCAGAAGTCCAAGAAGGTGACGCAGATTGAGCTGGACGAGCCCAATCAGTTATCAAGGAGAGAGAGGTGTGACGGCGTATTGGTGCTAAATGGGAACTTCATTTTTAACATATAGGATTTAGTAAAAACATCTTAACAGTAGAAGTTGCATGCGTGACATTTGGGGAAGTATGGAGCCTTATGGCGCACTGATACCCAGCTCTATTGTGTATTATGTGCTAGAAATGTTAATTGTTTAATATATGTTTTTATTATGTAAAAAAACATATTACTAGCATGTTCTGAAATTGGTAAGGACATTAACACTAAAAAGGCTGATGGGTTGGTTTTGTTTTTGTTTTTGTTTTATGTCTGTAAATTCCCAGTCCCCCATGTTTTATTATAACTTTCCTTATGTTACTTTCCCCCACCTTAACACACAACCACACACACACACACATGCTCTGGCACAGGGAGGAGATAGAGAAGCAGAAAGCGAAGGAGCGCTACATGAAGATGCACTTGGCAGGGAAGACAGACCAGGCCAAAGCTGACCTCGCTCGTCTCGCCATTATCAAGAAACAGAGAGAAGATGCGGCAAGAAAGAAAGAAGAAGAAAAGAAAGGTAAGCGAGACATTTAATAAGGTGATTGTTATGAATATTTAGTGCCCTAAGCCAGAAAAACACTACACAACCTGATGTGGTCATGAAAGCCTCTTGTCTTTATCTTGAAGAAACTGCACTATTCTTCACAAAATAGAGCAGGTCAGCATGGACTGAGGTTATTTTGTGTTGTGTGATGGTTCGGCTTTCTCGTGTCTCCAATAAGACACTCAGAGCAGCAGGAGGAGTCAAAATGATATAAAACGTACTTTATTTATTTATCATTGTAACGACCGGAATCTGGTTTTGTACCGGATGATGATGAGTCTTTTCAGCCAGTGATTGTCCAGTTAGAGCTTTGCCAAGTAGAGCAGTGTACCTAACATTCGTGGCTCTGTACTTATCGTACCTTGTAATGAAAGTCTTTCTCTTGGAAAGTTAAAAGTGAAAACGTACTGTTTGAAAATACGAACAATAAATCTAACCTCTGTCTTGCTTGTCCATGTAAGCTAAGCAGCATTACAAAGTTACTGTACGTCAGAATGAAATAACGGTCTGATCTTATAAGTCCAGGTCGAACTAACTCTAGAAATACATATTTGGGACCTTTATGCATTATTCTCCATTATTCTACTGAGAAAACGCTGTCCTCATCTGGATGCACTATTGTATTGTATAATAATGGTGCAAACTAAAAACAAATTTGCACTCTTCAAATGATATTCCCTCAAAATATTTCACATCAGAGTTTCTGAGAACGTTTGAGTTTCTCTGTGCGTTTTCCCATCAATTAGAATGACGTAATTGTGGATCTCGACATATGATTGAATCACAATACGATTCCATTGAAAGACGATACATTACCTTCTTGAATGATCTGAAATGGAAACACCACAGTTTATAAAAAATGACTAAAGGTTTCATGCAGTGCGTCGTGCTGATTGTGTCTCTTTTATTTTCTGCTTACAGCAAAAGACGCAGCAGCAGCGGCAGCGGCGGCGACGAGAGGAATAAAGTCCCTCTCAATGAAATGATGCAGAGAATTTATCAGAGGCTCTTTCTACATGTTCACGGACTGAAGCAATATATATATATTTGACTATTTTTAAAGGAAGAGCTATGGTCTTGACATTTCTGTTACATGTGACCGTTTGGAGAATGGTTTGCGGAGACACCAGTGGAGAGGGGTTGTGTATATTGTGGCATTGAATAATGGCCTCGTTGATCCCTCCAGGAAGTAAAGCTACAATTGAGAATACATCGGTCTTCACATGCACTTGGAATGAACCCCCTCTAACCTGTGATCTTGCTCATGATGTTAGTGATGGTGAACTTGTCATTGTACAATTCTCACTTTGCTAACTGAGCTTTACCACTTTGTTTTTTGGGGGATCTTACATTGTACATACCGGACTCGTGAAGATATTTCAGATTATTATGATGGAACTAGTCAAATGTGTACATTTGTTGTTTTGCTTTATTTCCCTGTGAGAGAACTGTCACGACTGATTTAGAGCAGGTAGCAGCCTCAGGTGCAAGAGTCCATGTGGCATCCACGGATGTGACAGTGAGAGAAGACTTTGCAGCGTAACTGAACAGTTAAATCAGTAAGATTAATATATAAGATGAGAAGTTTATGATCCTATCGTGTGTCAATCTTAATTTTGCTCTTGTTTAATGAAAGGTACCCAGACTCCCTATTCAACAGGACTAAGGTCACGACTTAGATGGATTCAAAATTAATACAAGCAAATTTTCACGTAAGTCGGATTTTTCCCATTGTTCACATATACCGCATCTACAGTATTTCAATTATGAAATGTGCAATATGTATCACATCAGCTCAGCTGTGAAAGACAAGAATTCAGGTGAGTTTGACAGCAATGATTAATAAAACAAATGACAAATAAAAATAAACTTGCCAGTGTACATATTTAATTTCACATACAAACATTAAACCTCAACAGATTCTTCTCACTTAAAATACTTATATATATATATATACGTATATCATTTTATAATTTTCTGGTTATTCATTAAATAGTCGATATGAAATAACCACATAGTAAAGTGTGGAAAAATAAAGCTGAATGAAATGAGTGTTTCTCTTTCTTTAACTTTTTCAAAGATTTGAATGAATAACATATTGTCAGCGTAACTGTAAGACAAATATCCTACATAACATTTCCACTTGAAGGTTCAATATTGAGGCATGCAAACATTTGATACAATGCATAATGCGTAGTCAGCGAATCCTGCTTCTTGTTTGGCTAATAATAATTCAAAGTTGAGGACTATTCTTAGATGTATAGTGTTACACCACATTCTGAGACCCATCACATTCTGTGGCTCGATCAGGAAGTCCAGCTCTATCACCCTCCCACTAAAAATAATCATTTTTGTCCACACACGAACAGAGGGGGGCGGTAATGCGCCATATATGCTGTAGAAAACATGAGGAATCAGCGGATTGGTGGATAGATTGGCGGACTTTACCCTCGCAGAGTGGTCTGTTGTTTTGTCTCAGCCCTGTGGTCAGACTTCAGTACAGTATCAACTACATGCGACAGCGAAGAGAGCCTCCACTCTGCTGGTGAGTGAACTAACTAGTTCATGTCAATGCTGACAAAATGGAAATGTTTGTCTTGATATGCAGAAATAATTTATTCAACGAATAACTAACTATTTTTTGCATTTAAACGTCTTATTTGGCACTATTTTATCGACGTGTCTGCTCTTCCGACGTGACATTTAGCAGTTGGTCAACTCCATGCTGACCTTGTTATGCGTTCCCTGTCAAAAGTAATAAGTTAGCTAGTTAGTCGTTCTCACGGTTCGCTTGTGCATATTTTTTTTAACGCCAGAGAAACATTTTCACAGCTCTCATGTATTTATCAAACATTTCTGCTCTACAACTTTGCCTCATTGCTGCTAAGTGTCTGTGTCAGGTGATAGCGGGTAGTACCGGTGCGTGTCAGGTGATAGCGG